CACTCCAACCCCAGTTCCGCACCAAATATCACCTGCTTGAAAATATCTGTGCTCACATAAAGCACTAGTCATCTTGTTCAAAAAGTCAGCACCAAATATTGAAAAAAATGGGCAGTTTTAATTACTGGATGGATGTGCATTTAAAAGACATAAAAACCTTACACAATATCATCCAATCACAGCCTGCATATGTCTCTTGATCTGTACTGAAGGCTCCCTACGAAAACCGCACTGTCACAACCAGTTCTCATTTGGTGTAGTAGAACCTGTAGACACAACTGTCTAAAACTGCACTTGTCAAATTTGTGATGTATTCATTGTAAATAGATGTAGCTTCTTGGAAACAAATGGAAATTGGTTCAAGTTCAATACTTTTTCCTATCTGACAGGTCTATATGACACCAGTATACACATATCTGATGTACCAAAAGAGCTGTGAGGGTTAAATTATTTAGATTTTGTCAACTGATTACAAAATGAACTTCTGTTTTAATAAAAAACTTTCTATGACAGTACACAGGCCTTTATTGTTTATTCTTGTTTCACACAAGGATGGGTTCACAGGTCAATTCCATGGTTGCCAGTCGCTGCTTCGAACATATCACCCCAAAAGTATCTTTTCGACAATTTAAGACAATACTTGGAAATTCAAAACAAATTAGGCTTTCATATTTTTAATTTATTAATGGTGAGTTGTTTGCTGACCTTTGCTGATAACAACTGAGGATAGCAAAGTCTGGTACATAACATGGAATTTGGTTGTGACACTAATGAGCTTAAGTCATAGAAGAAGCTGGACTCAGTGAGCTTGCTGGAACTGGTACCCCTGCCTTGTTTACATAGGCCAATATATAAATGACAGGTCCATATTTGGACAAGAACCAATGTTGATGCTTTCATTCCAAAGAAAAATTCATAGTGTCAACATCTTGAACCTACTCTTGAAACATGGGGAGACATCGAAGGAATTCGATAACATCTTTTAGAATGGGATATAAAGCTTGGAATTCAGGCAAAAAATTCACCAGTGAAAAGCAAAGCAACTTTAAAGTGCCAAAAACTGTCAGGTTGACAACTGAGCTCCACAAGAAAGTGTGCAGTGTAGGGGTGGCTGGTGTCCAGCAAGTTCAAACACTGACAAGTGAACCGTACCGTCTGTTAAAGGGGCACTGATCTAACGCGATTTCTACCCGCGTGTCAACAATACAATTAAGTCATCTGGCTGCCAGGTGGTCAGTCCGCGCTCACTCGACCGAGACGCACAAGGGACTGGGCAACTGTCCACTGTGGCAGACTGGTCGTCCCAGCCGTCGCGACGGGGAATCCCCTAATCTGTTATCTGAACGCTGATTGGTACCTTACCTCGTTATATACCCATACCTCCACAGATCTCGGCTTGGACACTCGCCCCGTGCAGTCCTTCCTTGCTCGCAACCCAAGCTATCACCATGAGGGATATCGCTCTATCTCTACCTAGGGAGCTAGTCGCCATCCTGGAGCCCTTGCTGGCTTACAGGGTCGGGGACTACTCCCTACGGACTTCCTACAAGTCCAACTCCTCCACCCTCTCCATCTCCTTCGACTTAGGTCAAAGGAAAAGGCCTCTGGTCAAAGCTCCGGCCAAGACCAAGCCTAAGGAGAAAAAGACCCCGGCCCCTGCCCCTGCTGCACCACGCCCGGTACAGAAGGCCAAGCCGCCCACAGTGAAGAAGGCTCCACCAGTCGCCCCCATGGAGATCCAGGAGAGCCTTCCCACCACCCCTCCACCCCCTTCAGCTGCACTGGAACTCGCTCCCCTCGAATCCAGAGGGGAGGAGCCCTTTCGCACGCCGGAAGGGACAGGACAGGGAAGAAAGAAGAGAAAGAGGAAAAGCATTTTCTCCCCCGACTCTCCCCCTCTTCCATCACCACCAAGCAGGAACTCGGAGACCCAGACCGCCACACAACCAGGCCCGTCCCTCAACTCTAGCCAAGTCCAGACTGACCCAGTCCCGGAACAAGAGAGTGAGGTTGAGGACCGTCTCCTCCTTGCAAAACAGGCACAGCACATCCTGGAACAGCACGAGGTCCTCCCTAACCCCTGCTACCAGCATGACAACGGCAGGCTGTACCCCAGCAACCGCCCACGCCCTCCCTTGGTGCTGGTGCAGTTCTGGGGTCAGGAGCGGTTTGAGCATGAGATTCACAGCTTCCAGGATCTCTCAGACTTCCTGGTCGACTGTGAACTCCCAGTCCCACCGCTCTTCTGCACCAACGCCGCCGCCCGCCTCACCAACTCACTGTTTAGAGCTCTTCCTCCTGGAGAGCTCGACCTAGCCAGGAGGCTCCTGGCTGGGCACAAACAGTAGCTTCCTCGCCACTCCAGCTCGCCAGCCGACGCCGTGCCTTCCCACGCTTGACCCCCCCCCCCCCTGATGCCCAACTTTACCACCTTATTATTACTTTTTTACATCCCTCGCCCCCCCAACCAAACCCACCCCCCTAGTTTAAATTTTGTTAGGTTTTACTTCATTTACATTTTTTTGGGTTGCACCTTTATTTATTCATTACGCTTTTTTTCCTATTTAGTACAGGTGCTTCCCCGTGTGCGAGATACGCTATAGTGTAATTTTTATTACATGCGGAAAGCGCACGTAAAATCCCCTAAAATCCAATCCAATCCGATGTCATTGGGTGACACTTCAAAAATCGCGGATGATGGAGCCCTATGGATCCGCATTAAAAGCATTAAAATGGCAGAAAACTTATTATTCCAAATTTTAGAATTTCAAAAAAATCGATATAAGCAACCCCTAAAAGCCCCCTCTTGGGTTGCACACACCACTTTCACCCTTCTCGGAATACAATAAATGGCCTGGCCAGGCCCGTGTGCGAAATACGCTGCAGTCGGAAAGCGCACGTTAAATCTTCTATATCAGTCAGTCAGAAAACTTAATCCAAAAATCTCTAAATAAAATACAACAATGGGCAGACAAATGGGTCTTCTCCCTTAACTCAGATAAAACAACAGGAGTAGTATTCAAACATAAAAACATGAAACCTGCCTACCCAATCCTCCAGCTAAACAACCAAATCATCAAATTCCAAAAACAAACCAAATTCTTAGGACTTATTTTCGATCAACACCTCACCTGGGAGGCTCACGTCCAAAACCTAAAAACTAGATGCAGCAAAGACCTTAACACATTAAGATGTCTCACCGGCTCCAACTGGGGAGCCTCCAAAGATACCCTCCTCTCACTATATACAACACTAATTAGATCAAAACTAGACTACGGCTGCGGCCTATACAATACCCTAAACAACTCTCTATCTAAAAAACTTGACTCAATACAATACCAAGCCCTTAAACTAATTACACGCACCCAACATGGCACCTCCTACACCTCACTTCAGGCCCTTACAGGAGAAATGCCACTAAATCTACGCAGGGAACATCTAAGCCTTAATTTCTGGGCCGCGTCCCAAACAAACCCTCTCATCCAAAACCTAATTAACCAAAACATTAGCCCAAGAAACCAAGGTCTAGCTCGCAAACATCCCTTACTCACCCCAATATCCCAAAGAATAACTAACTACCTCAATGAACACCAAACTCAAAATCTTAAACAAAACTGCAAAAAATCAAATATCTTCACCCCTAAACTCAAAATACCCCAAATAGACACAACGCTAACTAACCAAATAAATAAACAAACCGACCCAAACATAGCTAAAACCACCACACTTTCATACATACACGAAAATTGGCCAACTTGGTGTCACATATACACTGACAGGTCTTCAGACCCAATCTCCAACCACACAGGTTTCGGAGTCCATACCACACAACCAGTTATATCCACACAATCTTACCGACTCCCTAACAACCAATCTATATCACGGCCGAACTTATGGGCATGGCCTCAGCCCTGCATAACCAACAATCAAAAAAAAAAAAAAAAATCCTAATTCTCACTGACTCGCTTAGTGGGCTACAAGCCCTCCAAAACAAAAATACCAAAAAACGACCTAAATTAATAAACCAAATACTTAAAAGCTCCAACGACCTAACCAAAGCAGGCAAACAAATAACCTTCTTGTGGATCCCCGCCCACGTAGGAATTTACGGCAACGAAAGCGCCGATAAAGCAGCTAAATTATCTCTCAAAATACCAGAAATAAGCCTAAACCTACCCATCTCAAAATCAGAAATTAAAAGTGTAAACAAACAAAAAATAACCAAAAAATGGCACAATCAATATCAAAACTCAAATAGCCAAATCCAAAAAGTGCTCAGAAAACCACTAGCCAAACCTAAAATCCTACACCCCTCTAAAAAAATTGACAGATTAATTACCAAACTCCAAACAGGACACACGAACCTAAATAACCACCTAAAACAACTTAAAAGACACACCACAGGCAACTGCCCCCACTGCAAACAACCCGAAACCACAGAACACGCACTCATCCACTGCACCCACTACCAAACACACAGAACCACACTACAAACCAACCTCAATCTAAATAAGGTTCCTACTCTAGATGAAATACTAAACCCTCAAAATAAACTAGAAAACTTCAAGGCCCTAGGCGTATTCCTAATCAAAACAGGCCTAATCAAGCGCATCTAAAAACTAATTAATCTACCAATCCAAAATCCAATAAACATACATACACCCACCTCACCCGGCTCCCTTAGTTCCCTCCTCCACCCACCTCGGCATTTATTCCAAATTTTAAAATTTCAAAAAATCGATATAAGCAACCCCTAAAAGCCCCCTCTTGTGTTGCACACACCACTTTCACCCTTCTCGGAATACACTAAATGGTCAGGCCAGGCCCGAGTGCGAAATACGCTGCAGTCGGAAAGCGCACGTTAAATCTTCTATATCAGTCAGTCAGTCAGATGACATTGTCATGACACAGACACTCACAATGGCCAGCTCTCAAGACATCGTTTGCAATTGTAAAAATACCTGCACTCGCGTAACCAAGAGAGGATCGTGTCCGTGCCGCGCTGCCGGGATACCATGCTCCGATTTGTGCACATGTGGTTGGATGGTGCCTTGCATCAACAAGCAAGAATGCCAGCCTCCCATGCCGATCGACGTAGATATGGATGAACCCGCCGAAAGAGAAGTCCTGCAGTTCGCCCGAGAGGTAAATTATATGTTTTAACCTTACTCATTTATATCACATGAGATGTATTTTTTCCCCCAATATATAAAAATAAATACCTTAGTAATTACACAAAATGATGATGCACAATAATAGTAGATTCACATTATTTACAAAGTATAACAAATCGTGAAGTATTTTTTTAATGAAAGTATATGGGCAGTATTAACTGGAATTTTGCCCACTAAGCAATGCTAAGCATGTTTAATAAATTCTCAAATATCGATGTTTTTAGAACCTGCTTGACAGCGAAGATGATTGGCAGCCTGAAGAAAGGCGTGGCATGCCACCTCCATCCACAAACCGGAAGACTAGTAGGGGCAAAAAGAGACTTGACATGGACAATGAGATGGTTTTTGAATACTTTTGTTTCATTACACTATATGACTTATGATAGTGAACTTGTCAGGATTTTAATAATATATTGTACTTTTATCAAATAAAATGTCTCAATAAATGGTCGCACATCCTTTTCCTAGCAACTTTCCCAGATTATATTATTAATATTATTATTATTATTATTATTATTTATGATTATTTTTATTTCAGGAAGTAGATGCTGACACCCGTCACACCACCCCACTTGTGCACAACTCCTCTCAGAAGAGAAAGAAGAAGGGTGCAACAGCTGCTCGGGTCCGCAGAAGGCTTGAGGTTGACCAGGTTCGAGTACAGGTAATAATTAGTAAAATGCTTACTGCTAATTGGTACTTTTTAATGACAATTTTTCATCTCAAAAACATTTGAACAATGGTAAAGTAACACAAAATGTCACCCTTTATTGCAAAATAATATGATATCCAGGTAACATTATTAAATTACATTTCTACACAGACTGACATGTTACTTGTGAGCGAAGATGAAGGGCAAATGGTGCAGACGACATCGAGAAGACAAATTGTACGACCAAGGTCCACTCCACGTCAGGCTGTCGGTGCACCAGATGGTCCACCTATGGTGACATCGCACCATCAAGCGGTCAAGGTACCTTATTACAAGCATGTACAGCTAAACATAACAAGCTTATTGATGTTAACTAAGGTAAATTTCTGGTCTAAAAGATATTTCAACCTGATATAACCTTTATCTATAGTTATGGAGTTGTTTTAGTTTGTCTCAAATTTAGTCAAATTGAACATGATGTATACTTGTACTTCCAGGATTTTGCTGCAACTCTCAGTATGACACAGCTCCAGACCATAGTAACCGAGCTGCTGTTCAGAGATCAGGGATCATTTGAGGATTATCTCCATGGATACAGACCATGTGATAATCCGCCAAGTCAACCACAGCCAGAGGACCTACCAAGATGGTGTAGATGTGGCAACTGCCGACCCATGCTTACTTACTTACTTACTTACTTTGGAGATTTAACGTGCGCTTTCCGACTGATGCGTATTTCGTACACGGGCCCGGCCAGGCCATTTAATGTGTTTCCGAAAGGGGCGAAAGTGGTGTGTGCAACCCAAGAGGGGGCTTTAGGGGTTGCTTATATAGAATTTGGGAATTTTGAGATTTGGAATAGACCCATGCCGTAAGCACAGGAAAATAATTGCTGCTGGCAGACTGGCTCCTCCCAGTGTGTCGTGAACACGCCAAACTTCTACACTGTGATCACACCTGCTATATTGGACCTCGCCATGGCACATTACAATGACTTTCTTGTTCACGATCAAGACAGGAGTAACGCTGCATATCGCCATCAAGCTTACAGACAGTTCGTACTCCAGAGATTCGGACGACTGGGCATGGGTAATAGACGTGTTGTGCCATCCTGTGTCGTACTGGCCATCAGGTTGAGGTTCCCAGATCCCAGGGGGATCTACTCGGGATTCAAAGCCATGTGATGCTTCAGTGTTGTATATTTATTAATCAGTGTAAATAAGTTGTATGTATGTATGATAAAAAGATGACTTTCTCTTTAACTTGTCTCTTGTCATATTTCTTGGCCCCTTGTGCTCCTGATATTTATCCATCCCAGGCTTTGTAAAGGCAATTACTTGTAAAGGCTGTTATCTAATAAGTTAATTGTTACTAATCACATGTTATGTCAGTAACACCATAAAGGAGATGTGACATGTAAGATACTAAATGAATACACACAGCTGTATCTTCAGTAGATTTATGAGATCACCTTGGATTACTTGAATTGTTATCTAATAAGATGATTGTTTGTTACTAATTGCCTAATAAACTTCAATACCAATTTAACTAATTGCCCAATAAACTTTAATAACCATTCAACTAATTCCAGTGGGATCACATAAATGTACATTAACTTTATGCAGTTCTCATACATAATAATATACATAGCCATTTGGACTATACTATACTATTCTTTAATTTAGATTGTAATTCAATGCATATCTGACATTACACTGGATAACGCAAAGTAAATTAAAATACATTGTAATTGATACCATAATCTTCTTTATTATACATTTTACATTATAATTGAACGGTCTATACAACATACACAACAGACATATACACTTGATAGCTCAGTTCACACTGTATTGCACAACCTGATTTGAAAAAGTAGAATTAAATTACATTTGTCAAGCAATCCATATACAACAGTTTACAGCTATACATCTACAACAGTGTACAGCAATTTCATTTCGTGAATCTTGTGACACACTGTCTCACTAGTTCCGCAATCAGGGGACAGGGTCTCTTTGCAATTGTTGACGAGATGCACCATCGTCTGCCATGGGTTGCTTCCTTTTCAAGCCCCCGGTTTCTTCCTGGTCCCGCTGCTGAAAGGCCATCATCTGAAGGTCCCATCTGTAGGAGTAGTTCTTGAGGACTTTTGCGGTCCTTGGTCTCCAACGCTGGGTCCTCTTGCTGTATATACCCATGTACCTATAATGTAATAACATACATATGATTATTGTTGAACAGATGTATTATATTATTATATGTCTAATACACATCATGGCAACACCCGTGATACCCACTATTCACCATGTTTGAAAAAAAGGCAGTCTCCCTCTTGATTTGAAAATCAGTTGTCTGAGAATACTTTTAAGCTTATTGCTTACATTGTTTCGCCTTCACTGTTGGTCTGCTCAGGTCGATGGAGATGGTGATTGTGGTCAATTGCTGCCAACTGGTTCCTTGCAAGATAGCCTGTGAACCTGAAGTATAATTTATTAAGTATATGATATGGCTATTTTGGTCCCATTACATAACCCGTAATTAGGGATTAAGGGAAATGACAACGAATTGATTGAAGACACAAATACCAATTAATATCCTAATATTTCCTTAGTCACAAACACCCGTGATAAATCTTTTATTTCTGATAAAAATATGCTTACGACAATTTATGCAACCAATAAACTGGTCCAAGTAATCTGCTGAATTACTTACTGGTAGGAGTGGCGTTTTGGAGAGTACGTCAGAATGTGACTGTTAAATGATTCCAGGGCGCCGGTATGTCTGAAAAATGAGAACATGCAACTTTTAACTAACAGTATGTTATTCCTATTCTGAAAATATTTTTATCTGTTTATTTAAAGCCTATAATAAATTGTACAATGATAATAACATTCATTTTTTAAAAATTGTTTGTTGTTTAACGTTGCACTCAGCAATATTCCAGCTATATGACGATGGTCTGTAAATAATCCAATCTGGACCAGACAATCCAGTTTTTAAAGATGATAATGACACATGTTGTACTATCATAGTTGAGTTGGTCAGATGTTCATATCAAAATTGCTTCAATCTCAAATGTTTTATAAAGTTAATTGACAATGATACCAAATATTTAAAACATGTGGAGGTGGGGAGTTTTTATGCCTCAGTGTGGGTTTGCTGCCATATATATATACCTGAATTTGCGGAAGTAGTGAAACTGCTTCAGGAACCTTGGTTCTGTCACAACATGACGCAGGGAGTCCATCTCAGGGCTGTTTTTGTCGAGCCATGGTTGTTCTCTGTCCTCTGTCTCGTTGATGGGGGCATGAGAGCACTTTCCCTCTGTGTGTCCTGCAACATGCCATTCATGGATGTTGCACACATGTGACAGGACTCTGAGCCAGATTTCCTGTAAACAAGTAAAACAATCATGAGACCACTGTATTCACACAATATCATACAACTATGTAACCAATGTAAATGCAAACTACCCAGGGAACACATTTAAAAGATACTTACCTTCATTTTGATTGTTTGTCCTTCACAGACCTGAGCACTCCACCAGAAGTGATTCTTAATTGGTGTTATCCACTGTCTCAGCACAGAACTTGGCTTGCATGACTGAAGTACAAATAAATAGAAAGTTAAGAAAAATAAAGCATAAGCAAGAGACAAGTAGAATAATGATGACTGTAAATTCAAAGTACATTCTCTGGGGAATACATCTAATTTTGTTAGTGAAGTAGAGCTTATAGAATATATATAACTCACAGCAATCAGACGCTTTTCCAGGTTTTTTGCAACATGCCATATGTCATACTGGTCGTCAATGGCTTGGTATCCAGGGGTGATTCCTGCAAATCAACATAGCATTGTAGTATGATCCACAATTCTAAATTTTCCCAATGAAATTCCTGCTGTCCACAATATGAACATTCGCTCGTTCTCTCTATATAATTAAATATGTGATCCTTCATTAATTATTCCTATATTTTCATTTAATATACAGGGTATATAGAGGATATTAGATAAATCTTGTCAAATAAAGTGTTTATTTCATCGAGTCGACTGATTAAAGATCATATTTCCACAAGTGTTTAGTATTTGGTACTCTTGATAAGTATAAGTACATCATAATCTGTTTCATACTCACTCATTACTTTGGTTATCATTGGGCTCTGATCCGTGACAACCTCTGTAACCTTTACTTTGGAAGTAAGGAAGTTGAGGCCATGCTGAAATGCCACCTTCTCCATAGCAACACTGGATGTTGACTGGCGGACATCTACAACTTCAAGGTGCAAGATAGCATCTGTGTCCAGGTCTGAGAACGAATACGTGCAGAACTGGGCGGAATGACCTGGAGAATCATTCCTCCCATCACCAGCTACACGGACATCCTGTCGTTGTCGGACCTTCTCTGAGAGGAGTTGCGTCTGCATCACAGTCCAGTATTTATTGATTGCGGGGGCAGCATATAGTCTTTGAACCTAAAATGAAAGCATAACTCATTTTCAACTACTTATTGGTATTTTGGTCGCAGCAGTATTTGCAGGAAGTAGCTAACCTGTGTCTTAGTAATACAGGAAAATATTTTTCAACAAATATGTATGAATGTCAACATGTACCCAAGCACCAAGGTACTTTTATTTCATTACCTACTAAAAGAATAAATGTCAATATCTTGGAGTTTTAACAGGATGTCAATTTATTCTATTGTCATCATATAATACCTGGTAGAAAGTTGGCTCGCCAATAATTCCAAGGTTTAGGAATTTTGCTAGAAGAGCAATCTTCATGTAGGAGTTGCCACTGAATAGGATGCTTGTCGACAGCTGGAGATTTCCACAAAACATCCTTTTCATCTTTGGTTGTGAGGCCCAGGATCCACACGAGTGACCAGAAGTGCAACCCCATTGTACAACCAAGGCAGTGCCATACATCTTGTCTTGTATGGTCTTGTACAAGTGTCACCGGCTTTCAGTTTCACCAACTCCATGATCTGACTCAGGTAACCAATAAACTTCGGTGCGGAGATGAGTTCCAACAGTGGTTCAGAAGTGTCGGGGAAGTGATCAGGTGTATCATCATCATCATCATCAGTGGCAAATTCGGGCAAGTTTAGAAGATCTTCCTCTAATGCCGAGATGTTGTCAATGTCCTCTCCAAAGGTAGCCCTGATAACACATGAAATTCTCACTTTAAATCACTTACAAGTGCACATGCATGTAAATCCTCTTTTTGGTCAATGAACAATATTTTAATCTGTACAATTCATTGTTATTGTTTATGGGCCACACTGGCAATAATATCACAAGATAGCAGTCAGGTACATAAGTCTGCATGTATCCTTCTCTGAATGTGCTACTATTGAGATATTGATTATAGGGAAATTGTTGGAATAACATTTCACACAAAAAATTGATAATTGATGTGTCTTAAAGACAGTGCTTTTTGGGCAACCTTGCAATGATACAATGTATAGAATTTCTGTATTAGAGATGGAATATATATACCTTGTGTCACTAATATTGGGGTTATATTCTTCATCATCTTCATTCTCATCCAACAGTTCTGCTAGTCCTGTGTTGAAGCTGAAATTATTTAATACAATTAAATAAATGAACTCATTACTGTATTAACAAAGTGGAAAAATTTATTTTAAATATATTGGAAGAGGATTGCAAACCTTTTGCAATTTAAAATTAACATTTTATTCAACACTGCTGAATGTACCTGTACGCATAAAGTTTTATTACCACACATGCAAGAGACTATTAACGAAAGTGGTCATCACTATAACAGTGGTTTTACAAAGTACAGTTTCAGCGGTTATTATTATTGTTTTCGTGGCTTATATTTCATAGGTTTATATTCATTAGTACCTGGTTTGTGAGGTTACACTTGGTGCCTTGTCTGGGACTGGAGGAGAATGCAGGAAACTTCCTGCCAATGTAGACGCACTGGCATCATGGTCATTGACAATTAAACTGGCATCTATAAAAACAACTTTTGTTAGTCAGTTGAACATTAATTAACATAATTATTATATATAAATATTATGCCATGTATCAGTAACAAACAACAAACACACCCACCCAGCCCAACACTGAAGAACCACCCACTTTTTTACCAGCAAAAATTTGATCATTTAGGTGAGCATCATGAGTTTATACGACACAATGGGAAGAGTAAATCTAAATTACTATTATAAGTATATATAACTGATTATCTAAAAGCAAGGGGTTTACATTACTCTGATGAAGTAAAATAAAGGTATAAGTAGAAACATTGTGGACAAATGTGCTCAAGTACCAAAAACAAAGGATAGCAATGTAAACAATAGTTTTCTAAACAAAATGTCAAAAAGTGAGTAGATGACAGGAAACACAAAATTATTCTAAAAACAGAGTCTGCACTAATTATGTAACACAAGATGGCAGATAACAATGGACAGGTTTGTTGACGAAGTGACAATGACTTTTCAAATCACAGTGCCACATAATCCCTATCAAGTTGTGACTGGACAATTTGGACAACACGAAATTACTTAGGATAACATGACAAGTATAAGCTGTAAGTAAGCCAGCAATTCACGTTGGACAGGTTTGCTGACAATGCAACAATTTCAAAACAAAGTGTCAGTATATACCTTTGAACCTAAATTAGGAGGCTTGGAGAAAATATACAAACAATTTTTCAAATCATACCTATTTGGCTTTCGTACCATTTGAGAAATAACATTACCAAATTATTTCATAAATAATCATACTTCTATCATCCATTCCCACGCAGAATATAATTTTGAAACGTACATAAACAAAAAAGGTTTGCATACTAAAACGAGATGGACTTGGAGTGTCAACGTGACCACAAACTGGAGTACTAAAAGAAAGTCCAGGCGTACAAGCAAGTGGCGGTGTTCCCGATGCTGATATCGTGAGGGTCACTTCATGATCAGCTGTATCCATTGCCTGGGAACTAAAACATGTGACAATGTTTAAAAACCGACTATAAACAAACACTTTGTATCTACCATTCAGATAATTTGGAGGGCGGGTTTCGGGAATCTATGTTGTTTACACAGTATAATCAAAACAATACTAAACTATGTAAAAAATAGTGTAAATAGGCAAAAAATAGCAATATCTCAACATTGTGTTGACTTATCGTTCGATATTTTAGAGTGATTAGGAAAAACTTACTTGCTGCAGGCGCAGAATTGATCATGAACATCGAGCAGATGTTTGATGAATTCGCTGTTGCCTGATCCAGTGCTTTCTCGCATGTCGTTCCATCGATCGTGGTGCAGTCCTAAACAGATTCTAGTTACGTTCCTCTTTCTACCCTCTTCCAATCTTCTCCTTTTTTTTGCCGATTCTGTCGTTTGCATTCGCCCCATAGCCAGCGCGTAAGTAAGTCCATTTCGCCGGTTGACACGACTTTGTTTATATAGTTACCCGCGCTAGGTGGCGCTGCTCAATTAGTAGATTGTGCCCTTTACGGGTGGCGCAGCACAGGTCGCGAACTAGTCGAGATTTCTGGGATATCATCCGGGTACCACGAAAAAAAAACAATAACAAAGGCAACAACCAGTCCCGGGGAATTGCGTTAGATTAGTGCCCCTTTAAGGCCAAGGAAGGAAAACACCCCTGAGGAGGATAAGAGTTCCCTGAAAACAAAAAGTGAAAGGTAATAACACTTTAAACTATGTATTCCTTTGGCCTAGACTTTGAAATACTTGTAGGGAATACAAGATGCTCACTGCTAAATGATATGGGTGGATAAACTTACCAAGTTCAAGTATTTGTCCTTTAACGAGATCACTTAAAAAACTTTTAATATAATGGACAGTTTTCAGTTATTAGGTACAGCAAGGGATCAAATTCTCATACATATATGAGTGGTTTGTTCAATACCATGTAAAAAACAGTGTTGTTACACCCTAATTAAGGGCTTGAGGGGGATAGAAATAGAATATGCATTTGATCTGCCAGGGGAGATAATTAAGAAATGTCGAACACTTTCACATACTTAAAAGGCTTATTTAGAAGTTTTCAAAGTAGTCAATGGGTTTTCTTTAATCTGCAGGGCTGCTGCTGATGTTCACCACTTGTTGCATGTTGGAGAGACTGACAAGTTGTACAATGAGGCATTCCGCCAGCACGCCAAGACTTCGCCCATGTGTAAGGGGGACATTGTCATGGACATAGACAATGAACAGCAGTGGGGACTTAACTGGATAGAGAGAATTAAATGCACTGACTGTACATACCTGTCAGAGTACCGTAAACTGTTCAAGGAGGTAGAGGGTAGTGGAATGAGAAGGGGATGTCGATCTTCCACTGCCAATACTGGAATACAGATAGGCCTCTCAAAATGTCCCATTGGAAGTGAGAGTTTCCGTGTCCTGTGCATGAGTGCCGATATACCTCCACCATCCCATTCAGGGATGCAGAAAGCTGCGAACAGAGTTTGTGATAATATAAAATCTCAGAACACAAAGGACATGAGAGCCAGGAGGGCGGAAACAAGGGAAATAAATAAATACAGGGGAACAAATTTAAATAACATTAGTTTATCAACTGATGCAATGTACAACAATCCACTTTGTTCAGGTGTTGGGAAAACCCCTTTTCAGCCAGCCACTCAGGTAACCTATGTGGCCACTGAGATCCAAACTAGTGACCATCAAATTTTGGCTTTAAACACAAAATCAAAGCTTTGTTCAAAGCACAGTTTAGTTGACAACATTTCTTGTGTAAACAACCCAGACTGCACATCTGATTTGCACATGTCAGAATCAATTGGTAATGAAAAACAGTTAGCTGCAGAGTGTTTCAGGGACTTAAAGAAAGATCAAATTGAGGTAGAATTTTTGACAACAGATGCTGATGGTGCAGCTCACACAGCTCTCTCTGAAATGTATGAAGCAGGTGATATGGATGTTTCCCCACAAACTTGTCTCGATACACGGCATCTCTCGGCCAGCCATAGAAAGTTTATTAAAAATTCTAAATTTGTTGTGGATATGATGCCTGCTAGAACCAAAAAAGACAAACAAAATTTGGCAAATACATTTTCTTTAGACTGTGCATCCAGATGTGCAGCTGGGTTCTCAGCTGCTTACTCAAGTCATGCAGGTGACCTGACAAAGTTGAAGACATCTCTTTCATGTACTTCTGATGCTATTGCAAACTGTTACATGGGTGATCACAGAAAATGTAAAAGGCAGTCATTTGTTTGCAAGGGGGAGAAGCATAATTGGTTATTGCAAAGTAAATATTTAGATAAAATCTTCAAAATTAGAAACAATGAAACTAACTTTCAAAATTTGAGAAAATGCACTGATTTTTTGTCTCGGCCCGAACATGATCGAAAAGACGCAATTCAACCTCAATAGTCAAAAGTGTGAGGCAACAAACAAGGCATTGCGCCGGTCATTACCTCGCGATACCACCTTTGCTCGTAACTTCCAAGGTAGAGCTCACAGTGCTGTTCATAGCGTCAACTGCCAGAGTCCGGTAAAGTCAATTCGCAATCTTCAAATTAGGGCTAGGCTGTGCTGTCACTGCAAAAGGAAAAATAGATGATGAGATAAGCAAAAGTCATAATAAAGTACTTAAAGCTAAAACATACAAGAAATCACAGAAAAGTAAGGACCGCCGTGCAAGGAAAAAGTTAGAACTATTCAAATTCCATCATTGTAGAAAAATTCATTATTCGAAAGACATGTTATTGAAAAGAAATGCATATTTGAGAAATTTACACCAAAAATAGGATAATCCATCTTAAAAATGGCCCCAAACAGAAAGATCTAATGATCAGATACATAACTTACACCAAACAGTAGGGTTTATGACTTTTGGTGCACAAGCCCTGTTGTCGACAGTGAAGTCTCTCCATGTTAATTTTATGGGACTCTACTTTCAAATGCACAACATTCACACAAGAGGCATTATGACAGAGATGGCTCACTTCAACTTTGTTGCCAAAGTTGTCAGTTTTGCTAAAACCATCTGGAAGGCATTTATGCACAATGCAGAGGGCTATTCTGTGAGCTCTCTCCTCTGTCCACGCCTTTGACGGCCACAAAAAGAAGCAACGACCATAGCCCTGCTTATCACGGCAGCCCAACCATTCCTTACAACCCCATTTCCCACTCGCTTCACCCATTTTGCGTTCAAATTTGCCTCTACAATTATCCCAAAAGATCTCCATGGCAATAGATATACAGAAAAACATATAAATTAGGAAATGCTGAAATATGCACTTACCCTACAGGTTACACACAACCAAATGTTTTCCCATAGACTTCTATAGTAACGTTATAGCTTTTTAAAAAATAACTAGGCATTCAACAGCCATTACATTTATAAATGTGCACAGTCTGGCCTTAAAGCTGCAATAAAAACACAAATTTTGGCTAGGTTACCCAGCTCCTTTTCCGAGTACAGGAAGCTGAACACTCCAACCCCAGTTCCGCACCAAATATCACCTGCTTGAAAATATCTGTGCTCACATAAAGCACTAGTCATCTTGTTCAAAAAGTCAGCACCAAATATTGAAAAATATGGGCAGTTTTAATTACTGGATGGATGTGCATTTAAAAGACATAAAAATCTTACACAATATCATCCAATCACAGCCTGCATATGTCTCTTTATCTGTACTGAAGGCTCCCTACGAAAACCGCACTGTCACAACCAGTTCTGATTAAGTGTAGTAGAACCTTGAGATTCCTCGTACTATGAAGGTGGCACAGAAGTTCTGCTACTTGTGCGAATGTGGACATGGCTGCTTAAACTCTTGATAGGTCGCAAAATGGTCAAAGCTCTTCCATGTATTATCATTATATCCGCTTTTGGTGATTTGTGATGTTTTAGTGATGCATTTCTCATTCTTCTTTCGATTCTTAGTGGAAACGAGCCAAAACAAGCGTTTAAAGCTTCTAAAAAAAATAATCACCCAAACTAGTAGTGTCTTACCTAGAGTGCTCACAGCAACCCTCAAGTGCCACAGCGGCGACTGCTCCAGGTGTGCCCAGTACTCTGTTGTGTGTCGTGGTTTGGCAGTGGTACATGTTCCTCCGCTGCAACAAAGTTGTAAATTTTACAATAAATTGTATATTCATAAAACTTATCCTATCTCACACTAGGCATTTCTCATTCTTCTTTCGATCCTTAGTTTCCGGATCGAGAGAAGAATGAGAAATGCCTATATACAGGCCTCTATGTGTCTGGTCATTAGTCTAAACAAAGGCCTCTATGTGTCTGGTCATTAGTCTAAACAAAGGCCTCTATGTGTCTGGTCATTAGTCTAAACAAAGGCCTCTATGTGTCTGGTCATTAGCCTAAACATAGGCCTCTATGTGTCTGGTCATTAGTCTAAACAAAGGCCTCTATGTGTCTGGTCATTAGTCTAAACAAAGGCCTCTATGTGTCTGGTCATTAGTCTAAACCATGGCCTCTATGTGTCTGGTCATTAGTCTAAACAAAGGCCTCTATGTGTCTGGCCATTAGTCTAAACATAGGCCTCTATGTGTCTGGTCATTAGTCTAAACATAGGCCTCTATGTGTCTGGTCATTAGTCTAAACAAGGGCCTCTATGTGTCTGGTCATGAGTCTAAACCATGGCCTCTATGTGTCTGGTCATTAGTCTAAACATAGGCCTCTATGTGTCTGGTAATTAGTCTAAACAAAAGGCCTCTATGTGTCTGGTCATTAGCCTAAACATAGGCCTCTATGTGTCTGGTCATTAGTCTAAACAAAGGCCTCTATGTGTCTGGTCATTAGTCTAAACAAAGGCCTCTATGTGTCTGGTCATTAGCCTAAACATAGGCCTCTATGTGTCTGGTCATTAGTCTAAACAAAGGCCTCTATGTGTCTGGTCATTAGTCTAAACAAAGGCCTCTATGTGTCTGGCCATTAGTCTAAACAAAGGCCTCTATGTGTCTGGTCATTAGTCTAAACAAGGGCCTCTATGTGTCTGGTCATTAGTCTAAACAAAGGCCTCTATGTGTCTGGCCATTAGTCTAAACAAAGGCCTCTATGTGTCTGGTCATTAGTCTAAACAAAGGCCTCTATGTGTCTGGTCATTAGTCTAAACCATGGCCTCTATGTGTCTGGTCATTAGTCTAAACATAGGCCTCTATGTGTCTGGTCATTAGCCTAAACATAGGCCTCTATGTGTCTGGTCATTAGTCTAAACAAAGGCCTCTATGTGTCTGGTCATTAGTCTAAACCATGGCCTCTATGTGTCTGGTCATTAGTCTAAACAAAGGCCTCTATGTGTCTGGTCATTAGTCTAAACAAGGGCCTCTATGTGTCTGGTCATTAGCCTAAACATAGGCCTCTATGTGTCTGGTCATTAGTCTAAACAAAGGCCTCTATGTGTCTGGTCATTAGTCTAAACAAGGGCCTCTATGTGTCTGGTCATTAGCCTAAACATAGGCCTCTATGTGTCTGGTCATTAGTCTAAACAAAGGCCTCTATGTGTCTGGTCATTAGCCTAAACATAGGCCTCTATGTGTCTGGTCATTAGTCTAAACAAAGGCCTCTATGTGTCTGGTCATTAGTCTAAACAAAGGCCTCTATGTGTCTGGTCATTAGTCTAAACAAAGGCCTCTATGTGTCTGGCCATTAGTCTAAACAAAGGCCTCTATGTGTCTGGTCATTAGTCTAAACAGACCATTCCAATATTTCTGAATCCCCTTGTCCATTTTGATAATCCTACTGTGCATGAAACGAGGATATGCCCATCATATTCCATGTGTTTGTCAGGTCTATCTGAGTGAAAATACATTCACCCCTTGCTTTATATGATAAACATTGCTGTTTAAAACTGTTATTTCCAAGTGTGTCATTGCAATTTTAACTGTGCCACAGAATTTTTAACTCTGGGGATTGCTCTCGTGGCATCCACTGTGAATAAAAGCCTGATCTATCATACAGACGAGAATCACACACATGTTCTGGATACAAGAACAATTCCCTTACTGACTGACTGACTGACTGACTGACTGACTGACTGACTGACTGACAAATGACTAGTGTAGGAAGTATCAATACTTATAACATAAATTTACGCTGATGGTGGCAAGGTGAGATTATTAAGTGAGGACAGTATTGAAGTTCATATCAAATGCAGAGGATGATATAAATATTCAGCCATGATTAGCTTTAATTAAGAACTATTATGACTGATCATGAATACAGCAATTGCAGTAATTCAATGAGTATTTTATATAAACCGGGACCAGTTGAAATTTGTTAATTCGATCCGAAATGTCATGGTTGCCCTGAAATTCACAGTTGAAGACGGTTAGTTCAAATTTAATGTTGCGTTGGTATTGCTTCAGCTATATACCAATATTCCCTTAATACGTTCAAATAAATACGAATGTATGTGGGAAGAACACGTGTGACATTTAAGTACTTCTGGAAAGAGCTGTCCAGCTGCATGGTGATCGCAGACAGTAATCTAACTCGACTTTACCTATTTCAATATAATTGCTACATGTAATTAGTGTTTTCAAAGGCAGCTGACTAATAGGAATACTTACCTAGAGTGTAGACATTGCTGTCACTGTGCAGCCACAGCTGTAAACAGACACTGACCACTTTACTTCCGGTGCCGGCAAGTGCTCTTGGCGCCTCCTATTGCGGCACGAGCAGTGAAGAGTTTTCTACCTTTGCTGTGAAGAGTGTTTCCGTGCCTCATTCAGCCACAGTCGAGTATCTCGCCACAGAACTGCATGCCCAACTACTCTTTCTAAAACTTGATAAAGATTATCTAAAGAAGGTATGTACATGAACTGTAACAATCAACTGAATGAAAAAAATGATTCTATGCATGTAGCGTCGTTATTCACAGGAGTAAGTAACAATTTAACACCACTTAACATGTACAATGCACGCGAGTCTCCCCGACTGTGGTTAATTCTCTTTCACTTCTGTATTAATTAAAATTACATACTGCCACTCTTTGAATGTTGTCTGTAATGGTTACAGTTAAAACGGCACCTCAGCAAAACCTCACCAAGTGAAAACGGCTACTTTATTGCACCTTATTTTAATTTTTTTACCTTGGTACTGAAAAAAATGAAATTAAACTTACATGGTCACTTGCAAACACAAATAATTGTGAAATGTTAACACAAGACAAGACCACTACAGTGAGTGGGTTTAAAGGGGCACTGATCTAACGCAATTCCCCGGACTGGTTGTTGCCTTTGTTATTGTTTTTTTCCCAGTGAGTACCCGGATGATACGCAACGCAACTGAGCGTGACCAGAGACTGGGCTACCGTCTGCAAGGACAGTTTAATAAACTTGGAGGCTGCAGGCAATATTTGTTTTACGCATTTTTGCATAAATGGATGTCGTCTTTTGGAAATACCCCAGATGGTTATAGTTTAATACTAAAAAAAGTATCCATGCAGTGAAAGCATTTTCGGATTTCAGATTGCGGCGATAATACGATTACTACTCCCTTGTTGTCATCCACGTTTTCTCGTATAACCCTACACTTGTGTATTTGTCATCATTCACTTGATGCTCAGTTAATGAATTTATTACAGGTACAATTAGTGGTAGCACCACTTAGATTACCCGACAAAGGTTCCCATTTGGCATTTATTGTGTCTGGGGTAATTATTCAATCTAAATCCAGGTTTGAAGTGAGGTGAAATGTGTGTTATGTAATATGCACGTGAGAGCCCAGCAAGAGATGAATGATCAGTTGATTTACTTTTTAACAGAAAATACGTTGATTGATTAATCACTGTTATCTTGCACAGTGGATATGTCAAAAGTGAGTGTTTACATGTCTAGGCTTACTAAACCAAAGGGAATACACTCATATCATGGCGTGAAGTGCCGATGTAAAAACAACATACTTTGTTCAAAGGGTTAACTGATAATACGTTGATTGATTGATCATTGTTATCTATCACTCAGTGGATTTTTTAGGAACCGTGGACGTTATGAAAATAGTTGTCATGTGGGCTTTCTCAGCCGACCCTTGAGACTTGACACCTATGTGAAACACCTGAAACAATCCAAGTGATCAGTTGAGAAACGAACACGGGTTATAATATCCCGAAACGATATATACCTTTTAAAATATTTGATTGTTACAAGAGACACGTGACATCGAATAAGTTTCTTTGTACAGCTGCAGACGAGTGGGATATTGTTCCTTTGTGTGGATATTCACGGATACATTCCTCGAACAAGGAAGCTGCCTAAAATTTATACACATAAATTTGGTAGGTTGTAATTATATGGTATTTGCATTTTGTTTTCCTTCATTTGAACCGATAATTCGTTCTTGTTTCTCTACGTCTTGGTTGGGAAATTCTTCAATGCGTGATAGACGTTGTTTTCACAGGTCTTTCCCTTGTAAGCGTGTATATATTACCGTCAATTTGTAAAATGTGATTCTCTCAGGCAATTTATAAAATGTGTAAATATTTCAGTAATTTTGACTAAAAAATCTGTCCAGATTGATTAAGACTATCAAAAGGGCCTACGAACATCACAACAGATTATTATGTAGGATTAGAAGCCAAACAACATAGAAATGTACTTTTCAACGTCACATTTTCAGTCTCTTTGTGATGACATTAAACATAAAAATGTTTGGAATTTGTTATCATAATAATAGAGATGGAAATGTTTTTCAGTCAATTTGTAAAATAACTTAATATTTAGACGTTTAATAAATATGTTACACATTTTGACAGTAAAATAATATACACACATTTAAAAAGCAATGCTCAGGTGAAATATTTACTTCATGTTGCAAGTCAAAATAGTGTAAACGAAAATCGCAAAATTACCAAGCAAGTGACTTATCAAAATTTCGTCACCATTACCGATCCTACCTACAAAGATACCTACATTTCCTTGTTATCTCGAAAACTGTATTTCATTTTGTTGATCAATGTGACCATACGCCCTTATTACTACCAGTATCCATAAAAGTGACTAATGCGTTTACGAATGGCGCAGCAGAGGTCGCGAACTAGTCTAGATTTCTGCTATACATCCGGGTACTCACAGGGAAAAAACAATAACAAAGGCAACAACCAGTCCCGGGGAATTGCGTTAGATCACTGCCCCTTTAATGCCGCTTTTAGCAGTATTCCAGTTATATCGCGACATGTCAGCTTAATGTCGGAGGAAAGCCCGAAGTGATGCAGGTCTCAGACGTTTACCACTTCGGTGAAACCCACGAGCATGGGTATGGTGCTGACAAACCGAGAAACATAATGGAGGCAAACCGCCAACCACTACTGACAAGGCTGATTCAGGAGGGCTGACTCAGGGCCGATGTGAGGAAGTCCTCCACATCTCGTCAGGATGACATCTTCCACGTGTGGCAGAGATATAAAGATGGATGCCTCTCCCGGACTCGGTTGCTGACTCAATGCTCTGTGGATCTTTGAAAGATTCAAGATGACAATATTCTACTGTGAACAACTGTGGAAGACAAGACAACGACAATGTACATGAACCATATATACTGCTACATAAATCATTCTTGAAAATAAAGGTCTGTTTTTGCCTGATAAATAGCAGCCATTTTCACCAAATGAAGTGTCGTTTTCACCCGAGAAATCAGTGAGGTTTTGCTGAGGTGCTGTTTTAGCCTACACCCCTGAACATCACTTGCTTGATAATGGTCTTAGAATTTACACTGAAATGTCGCTCCTAATTGTAATAAAGAAGTTGTTCATCCATACATCTTATCCTTACTTAGTAATAGTACCAACTAGATGCCTCTAAAAGAGGTAACACTTTGTATGTTGGCTTCATGTGAAGATGTGATATCTTCTATATTGAAACCCGTCACCTCTACAATGTTGGAGCGCGCTTGGAGACATAATTAAACATGCGCTTCGTCATGATGCTTATTACCTTGCTAAGTAACTAATATACCAAAGTGTATAGATTTTACAGATTGATGAATCGTGTGTTATACATGAATATGGACACATTAAGATCGATAGTTTCATGATATAACATTGCCAAAAGTATGTTAATCAGCATAAGGCAATGGTGGAGGCACTAACAGTTCTCAATTTTGACTTCTCATTGTCTGGTATTTTCTTTTCTAGGAATATTGTTCACCATGATGTTCAGAATGTCATTTTTGCTTATATTAAAGCGTGTGGCAGTTTTGATAATATATAAAATATCCAGGTACTTAGCAAACCTTTATTATGGGCAAGGTGTAAATGGGCCTAGTTGCCCGAACACCTATAAAATATTTTACTAATCAATAGTTATAACATTTATACTAAGTTTTCATATCAAAATTAGATCCACAGCCAGGGCTCTTATAAGTTATCATTGTGCAACATTGACAAAAAATTTCATATAATTATAGAGCGGCAAGTAGTACATATTTATCAAGGACAATGCAGATACAAAATATTAGTAGTTTCAGTTATAGCTCTCAGACAGATGCTAGCCTAACATGCCTAAGGTAACAAGGACACATCTCCCAGACATAATATCCAACAAGACAAAAGATAGGTGTACCTAGATTGCCCTGAACTAAGTAAATCACCTATATCATGCATATTAGAATAAGATTCAACAAATACTTCAATTTTTCATTAAGGATTAGCCCATCGACAAGCACCCAGAAGATATGTCAACAAGATTAGTGCCAGTCAAACAGGATTAACAGGCTAAGTTATTCCCCTCTGTCTAACCATTTATTAATCATTGGGCACACTCGATTGTGTATCAACCAATCCTATTCCTTGTTATTGTTCTAACTTCTAACAAATAATGCTGTGCGTAAATTTAGTATCACTATCACCCATGTTTTGTTCTACTATTGGGCCCCCAGGTAACCCCTTGAGAACTCAGGAGGGGGCTCTTCCATACCCACATCACCTGATTGATGAACCCAGTCTAGCACAGAGCACCTAATTACTTGTTTGTCTCCAACTGGTAAATTAGGTGAAGTGGGTGAATACCGGTGAGAAGAGGGGTACGTCATGCACAATGGTTCAGCAAAGTGACTCTCAGCAATTGTTAAAACAAGCTTAAACTACAAAGTTATTAATCGGTGTTTAGTGGGGCCTATACCAGATGTTTGAACTGTAAATTATCCTTGTCTCCCACAGATATTCATGGGAATGAAACAGCAGACAGACTGGCACAGCTAGCTCCGGACAAAGCGGAGATACACCCTATTGCTTTCAGCAAACTGGAGGAAATGCAAATCAAAGCAGAAATGACAAACCCAATGGGACGCAAGTGAAGGTTGCAGATGGCTTTACAAAATACAAAATTGAAACCCAAATTGGAAGAAAAGCCATACTACTACTCATCTGTAAAGATGGTCAGCTCCTCAACCGTATCTTTACAGAGCAGCAAAAGTAATTACATCCATTTTTAAACAGACAAATTTGTATCAGTTAGAAAAAAGAAACCATATCAAAATAAAAGCAGAAAGATGGTCTAAGAGTAACAAACTGTTCAACAGTTCAACCACACAAAACAGGCATATTCTGTATGAACAATTATATTATATCTTGTCAACATAATTATGATCTCAGAAGGGCATTACTGCCATCAATCATCTAAACTGGGACTTGACTTTCAGTGCATATCTTTATTTATTGTGATTATTTATTCTGAACTTTATTTTGTCATGGTCACTGAACAAATGCCTTGTGGGTGACCTCTATTGTGCTGACCTGTCTTGTGTGAGAGGTTAACATGCAGATTATATACAGATGATGTGAAAACCTGTCATTTTACTTTCTTTATTATGCCTGTTTGGCATTATTTTTTTTAACATTTGAAAATCTTTACTGCCTCAACATTTCATACAACACAAGTGCATTTGTTTTCCATCCACTATGTGGTTGTTCAAATTACACTTATTACCCGCTCAATGGATCAGTGTGCACTTAACAATCATTCTTAGCTCCCTGGGGAGTATACAACCCAAACTCCCTTGAGGTACTAGAAGGTAAAAAGTCACATTGACATCTCATCCTACCGGGTACCCATTCACAGCCTAGCTGTTGAACAACGTCGATCCAACTACTCCCATCGACCAGTGTTGCTCAACTTGACATGATTTGTGACCTGTGCACTGTGAACAGGACCACATGCCACCAGCTCATGCATTCTGATACAGATATGATAAATGATCAATAATTCTGATATTAAAAAAACTACCTTGACACCTACTTCACATACTCTGAGTTTCATGTTTTTCTTTGTGGGTCAGTCAACTGCTTGGTGGTCAATCAGAGTGTAAGCCCAGGCGTCTTCTGGATTGGCTACTTTTAAATCTCTGTGTCCCACTTTCAAACCCATTTGTTTTCACCCTGCACTTTGCATCGATACTTCACTGTGCACTGGACTGGAAGAAAGCATATATACTTAAATAAAGGTTAGTAGTTAAAGTTATAATTGTATTTTATGGCAGTATAATTGTGCAAATCACTTTAGTTTAATAAATGTATAGATCCTTAATTATATTTAAACATGTCTTATTTACTAGTATTAGTGTGTGCATGGTGAGTGTATGTATACTAGATATATTTCATTTCACTAGATGTGTGTCTGTTAATCTAGGACATTTGTGATTTCAGTAACTTGTATTTTGTATTAATAATTTGATAATAGTTTACATGTAATATTCATGTGTGTACATAAACATACCTTCATGATGTATTTTATATCATGAACAGGTTTTCACGAGGGTTTTGTCATATTTACGAGGGATTGTGACCACCAAAATACACCCCAGTGGGATTCACCGGGTGTATATATATATATATATATATACATATATATTGCTTGCATCGTAACATAATATTATATTTATTGATTTATTGTACCATATTTATATTGAATGTGTAAATCAATTAAACTTACATATCTAAGCATATAATCGTGAAATGTGTGTTTGTGTGGCTGCTTGTACTAGTCCGGACTGATACCGATTTATAGTGCTAGCTCACTGAGATACCATGCCGCAGTGTAACATGAATACCCCACTCAGACACAGTATACTGACTCCCAGCCGACCAGTCCTTGATTTAGCCCCTAAATGCCGAGCGCCAGACAGGGTAACAACAAGTACCATCTTTTAACGTCTTTTTGTATGACGCGGCCAGGGATCGAACCCCGGACCTTCCGCTCTCCGGGCGGATGCTCTACCACTAGACCACGGAGGCGGTCGAGTGAGTGAGTGAGTGAGTGAGTGAGTGAGTGAGTGAGTGAGTGAGTGAGTGAGTGAGTGAGTGAGTGAGTGAGTGAGTGAGTGAGTGAGTGAGTGAGTGAGTGCATGGTTAATGTGACTTTTGACATTAACATTATGGCAGAAGACACCAGAAATGGGCTTCACCCATTTCACACATTATACTCATTTCGGGAATTGAACCTGTCCCTGGCATGACAAGTGAACACTTTAACCCAGGGGCTACCAGGAGACACTGAGGCTGACTACAACTATTTACATTATGAAGAGAACTACATCAGATCCAAGTTCAACTTGTAACTTTTTCAGTGACATAAACTGTTGGAGAAAACAAAGAGTGCACATGAAATCATATACCAAATGCAGCACCAGCGTATTGTTGTCCTCCATGACAGCTACTGGGTTTTAATAAAACCAAATGAAAGGTACCCAGAAAGGCGTGCCTTGTTTTCTGTGACTATCCAATCATCCCAGTGTGCCTGCTGTATATCAGGCCCATAGAACCCATGTTGTCAGCCCACTGTAGCTAGGTGGTCGGGATGTGTGAGCTGGCTCACTGTGTGTCACTTTACCCAGTACACAGTGCTGACCTATACTGCTGGATACATCTATTGGTCATTGCTCTTATTCACAGACCACCGTCATATAGCTGGAATATTGCTGAGAGCGGCGTTAAACAACAAACAAACAAACAAACAAACAAAAAGACAAACAAACAACCCAAAAACAGAATAGATATGTTAGTCTCAATGAATTGTGGAATAACTGAGTTAAAGCCCTGGCAGGTTTACTAACAGTGCAACATTATTTCACCAATGGCAAGGGGAGGGGAGGGGAGGGGAGGGGAGGGGAGGGGAGGGAGGGGAGGGGAGGGGAGGGGAGGCGAGGCTAGGCTAAGGAAGGGAAGGGAAGGGAAGGGAAGGGAAGGGAAGGGAAGTGTAGGTGGGGGTTGTTGTTGTGGGAAGGAAAGGAACATGCATAATTTTACTCTCTTCAATAGTCGTCGACAATGGCCCCAATCCCACAAGTGAGCTGCCTCCTTTAAATCATTGCATCTCACATGCAGGCATAATATGACATTGACATTGACAATAAACACGAGGACAAATGACAGTAGTTGGATCCATGATGGTATTTTAAATATTTAAAAAATCCACAATATTATTTTTTGATGATTGATGGTGAAATATTTTTATTTTTTTATCTCTTTGTGATGACTTGCCAATGCAGTCGACTTCTTTTCCGTCACTGTGGACGACGTTCTGAATAAATGATTGTGACATGCCGACTTCACCGTTGTTTATTTGGCGTGGCAGACAGTTAACAGAAACTGAAGCTCTCTCGTGTGACGGAGCACTTTTGGATTTTCTGTTGCTGCAAAGACAATTTACCTTTGCACGTGCTGCTCAATGCAATCTAAATATAACCTACCTACACAATGTGAAAAGAACTCTTCATATTTCTCTCTGGGATAATAAGCAATGGGCGACTTTAGGTGACAGGCGCAAGGGAGCAATGGCTGCAAGGAAGCCGTACAATTCTGAATGGAAGGGAATGAACGCAATAGGACGTTGGCAGCGTTATGATGACCCCTAAACAGAGAACATCTTAGAAAAAACAACAAGGACCCAGACCAATGTAAATAGCACGCAAGCTAGTAGTAAAGCTGTTTTGTGAATTTTGGTGAAAGGAATTCTCCCAGGTGTGGCGTATTCGTGGGCCGTCGTTGATAAAAACTAGTTCCCAAAAAATGAAAATGATCGTTCCCCATTTTTGGATTGTTAGTAGTGTATGGAACATTCTGTTGAATTATTCAGCCGCTGTTATTTGTCCAAACTGTCTATATACGCTACGCGGCACTGTGCGAAAATTGGCACTATTTTCTCTTTTCTGGGGACCATCACCAACATTCTCTGGACTAAATATGTTGTCCAAGAAATGTTTAAACGTGTACAATGAGTGCCATTTCTTTCAGTGAAATACATTCTTTGTGTGAGACTAAGTTGAGCCAAAATTTAAAAAAAGGAGTATCGTCTTGAAACTCGGTAGGCGGGTAGGACAGGTCCCCCCGACCACGTTGACGTTCAAATTGTAGATTTCTACCGATGTTCTCCAGGCCTTAGGGGCGTCCGTAGTGTCAAAAGCATGACTTGTGACCATGGGCTGGGGTGCCAAAATTTAAAAAAAGGAGTATCGTCTTGAAACTCGGTAGGCGGGTAGGACAGGTCCCCCCGACCACGTTGACGTTCAAATTGTAGATTTCTACCGATGTTCTCCAGGCCTTAGGGGCGTCCGTAGTGTCAAAAGCATGACTTGTGACCATGGGCTGGGGTGCCAAAATTTAAAAAAAGGAGTATCGTCTTGAAACTCGGTAGGCGGGTAGGACAGGTCCCCCCGACCACGTTGACGTTCAAATTGTAGATTTCTACCGATGTTCTCCAGGCCTTAGGGGCGTCCGTAGTGTCAAAAGCATGACTTGTGACCATGGGCTGGGGTGCCAAAATTTAAAAAAAGGAGTATCGTCTTGAAACTCGGTAGGCGGGTAGGACAGGTCCCCCCGACCACGTTGACGTTCAAATTGTAGATTTCTACCGATGTTCTCCAGGCCTTAGGGGCGTCCGTAGTGTCAAAAGCATGACTTGTGACCATGGGCTGGGGTGCCAAAATTTAAAAAAAGGAGTATCGTCTTGAAACTCGGTAGGCGGGTAGGACAGGTCCCCCCGACCACGTTGACGTTCAAATTGTAGATTTCTACCGATGTTCTCCAGGCCTTAGGGGCGTCCGTAGTGTCAAAAGCATGACTTGTGACCATGGGCTGGGGTGCCAAAATTTAAAAAAAGGAGTATCGTCTTGAAACTCGGTAGGCGGGTAGGACAGGTCCCCCCGACCACGTTGACGTTCAAATTGTAGATTTCTACCGATGTTCTCCAGGCCTTAGGGGCGTCCGTAGTGTCAAAAGCATGACTTGTGACCATGGGCTGGGGTGCCAAAATTTAAAAAAAGGAGTATCGTCTTGAAACTCGGTAGGCGGGTAGGACAGGTCCCCCCGACCACGTTGACGTTCAAATTGTAGATTTCTACCGATGTTCTCCAGGCCTTAGGGGCGTCCGTAGTGTCAAAAGCATGACTTGTGACCATGGGCTGGGGTGCCAAAATTTAAAAAAAGGAGTATCGTCTTGAAACTCGGTAGGCGGGTAGGACAGGTCCCCCCGACCACGTTGACGTTCAAATTGTAGATTTCTACCGATGTTCTCCAGGCCTTAGGGGCGTCCGTAGTGTCAAAAGCATGACTTGTGACCATGGGCTGGGGTGCCAAAATTTAAAAAAAGGAGTATCGTCTTGAAACTCGGTAGGCGGGTAGGACAGGTCCCCCCGACCACGTTGACGTTCAAATTGTAGATTTCTACCGATGTTCTCCAGGCCTTAGGGGCGTCCGTAGTGTCAAAAGCATGACTTGTGACCATGGGCTGGGGTGCCAAAATTTAAAAAAAGGAGTATCGTCTTGAAACTCGGTAGGCGGGTAGGACAGGTCCCCCCGACCACGTTGACGTTCAAATTGTAGATTTCTACCGATGTTCTCCAGGCCTTAGGGGCGTCCGTAGTGTCAAAAGCATGACTTGTGACCATGGGCTGGGGTGCCAAAATTTAAAAAAAGGAGTATCGTCTTGAAACTCGGTAGGCGGGTAGGACAGGTCCCCCCGACCACGTTGACGTTCAAATTGTAGATTTCTACCGATGTTCTCCAGGCCTTAGGGGCGTCCGTAGTGTCAAAAGCATGACTTGTGACCATGGGCTGGGGTGCCAAAATTTAAAAAAAGGAGTATCGTCTTGAAACTCGGTAGGCGGGTAGGACAGGTCCCCCCGACCACGTTGACGTTCAAATTGTAGATTTCTACCGATGTTCTCCAGGCCTTAGGGGCGTCCGTAGTGTCAAAAGCATGACTTGTGACCATGGGCTGGGGTGCCAAAATTTAAAAAAAGGAGTATCGTCTTGAAACTCGGTAGGCGGGTAGGACAGGTCCCCCCGACCACGTTGACGTTCAAATTGTAGATTTCTACCGATGTTCTCCAGGCCTTAGGGGCGTCCGTAGTGTCAAAAGCATGACTTGTGACCATGGGCTGGGGTGCCAAAATTTAAAAAAAGGAGTATCGTCTTGAAACTCGGTAGGCGGGTAGGACAGGTCCCCCCGACCACGTTGACGTTCAAATTGTAGATTTCTACCGATGTTCTCCAGGCCTTAGGGGCGTCCGTAGTGTCAAAAGCATGACTTGTGACCATGGGCTGGGGTGCCAAAATTTAAAAAAAGGAGTATCGTCTTGAAACTCGGTAGGCGGGTAGGACAGGTCCCCCCGACCACGTTGACGTTCAAATTGTAGATTTCTACCGATGTTCTCCAGGCCTTAGGGGCGTCCGTAGTGTCAAAAGCATGACTTGTGACCATGGGCTGGGGTGCCAAAATTTAAAAAAAGGAGTATCGTCTTGAAACTCGGTAGGCGGGTAGGACAGGTCCCCCCGACCACGTTGACGTTCAAATTGTAGATTTCTACCGATGTTCTCCAGGCCTTAGGGGCGTCCGTAGTGTCAAAAGCATGACTTGTGACCATGGGCTGGGGTGCCAAAATTTAAAAAAAGGAGTATCGTCTTGAAACTCGGTAGGCGGGTAGGACAGGTCCCCCCGACCACGTTGACGTTCAAATTGTAGATTTCTACCGATGTTCTCCAGGCCTTAGGGGCGTCCGTAGTGTCAAAAGCATGACTTGTGACCATGGGCTGGGGTGCCAAAATTTAAAAAAAGGAGTATCGTCTTGAAACTCGGTAGGCGGGTAGGACAGGTCCCCCCGACCACGTTGACGTTCAAATTGTAGATTTCTACCGATGTTCTCCAGGCCTTAGGGGCGTCCGTAGTGTCAAAAGCATGACTTGTGACCATGGGCTGGGGTGCCAAAATTTAAAAAAAGGAGTATCGTCTTGAAACTCGGTAGGCGGGTAGGACAGGTCCCCCCGACCACGTTGACGTTCAAATTGTAGATTTCTACCGATGTTCTCCAGGCCTTAGGGGCGTCCGTAGTGTCAAAAGCATGACTTGTGACCATGGGCTGGGGTGCCAAAATTTAAAAAAAGGAGTATCGTCTTGAAACTCGGTAGGCGGGTAGGACAGGTCCCCCCGACCACGTTGACGTTCAAATTGTAGATTTCTACCGATGTTCTCCAGGCCTTAGGGGCGTCCGTAGTGTCAAAAGCATGACTTGTGACCATGGGCTGGGGTGCCAAAATTTAAAAAAAGGAGTATCGTCTTGAAACTCGGTAGGCGGGTAGGACAGGTCCCCCCGACCACGTTGACGTTCAAATTGTAGATTTCTACCGATGTTCTCCAGGCCTTAGGGGCGTCCGTAGTGTCAAAAGCATGACTTGTGACCATGGGCTGGGGTGCCAAAATTTAAAAAAAGGAGTATCGTCTTGAAACTCGGTAGGCGGGTAGGACAGGTCCCCCCGACCACGTTGACGTTCAAATTGTAGATTTCTACCGATGTTCTCCAGGCCTTAGGGGCGTCCGTAGTGTCAAAAGCATGACTTGTGACCATGGGCTGGGGTGCCAAAATTTAAAAAAAGGAGTATCGTCTTGAAACTCGGTAGGCGGGTAGGACAGGTCCCCCCGACCACGTTGACGTTCAAATTGTAGATTTCTACCGATGTTCTCCAGGCCTTAGGGGCGTCCGTAGTGTCAAAAGCATGACTTGTGACCATGGGCTGGGGTGCCAAAATTTAAAAAAAGGAGTATCGTCTTGAAACTCGGTAGGCGGGTAGGACAGGTCCCCCCGACCACGTTGACGTTCAAATTGTAGATTTCTACCGATGTTCTCCAGGCCTTAGGGGCGTCCGTAGTGTCAAAAGCATGACTTGTGACCATGGGCTGGGGTGCCAAAATTTAAAAAAAGGAGTATCGTCTTGAAACTCGGTAGGCGGGTAGGACAGGTCCCCCCGACCACGTTGACGTTCAAATTGTAGATTTCTACCGATGTTCTCCAGGCCTTAGGGGCGTCCGTAGTGTCAAAAGCATGACTTGTGACCATGGGCTGGGGTGCCAAAATTTAAAAAAAGGAGTATCGTCTTGAAACTCGGTAGGCGGGTAGGACAGGTCCCCCCGACCACGTTGACGTTCAAATTGTAGATTTCTACCGATGTTCTCCAGGCCTTAGGGGCGTCCGTAGTGTCAAAAGCATGACTTGTGACCATGGGCTGGGGTGCCAAAATTTAAAAAAAGGAGTATCGTCTTGAAACTCGGTAGGCGGGTAGGACAGGTCCCCCCGACCACGTTGACGTTCAAATTGTAGATTTCTACCGATGTTCTCCAGGCCTTAGGGGCGTCCGTAGTGTCAAAAGCATGACTTGTGACCATGGGCTGGGGTGCCAAAATTTAAAAAAAGGAGTATCGTCTTGAAACTCGGTAGGCGGGTAGGACAGGTCCCCCCGACCACGTTGACGTTCAAATTGTAGATTTCTACCGATGTTCTCCAGGCCTTAGGGGCGTCCGTAGT